GATAGTGGTTTAGTTGGATTTAATCTTGAGCTCCGTAAATGTAAAGTTGTGTGAAATAATCAAAGAAATAAAGTCTTACCTTCGTAGAGAGCAGTCTTTATTGTTCTCCTCGCGATTTGAGGCCGTTTTGATGTGTTTTAGCTTGACGCCCTAAATTACCTTGCATAAATTACGGGAAGGTCGCAAACTTCTGTTGATACATGCTCGCAAAAATCGCTCCAAAACAACACTTAAATACTTTCTCTCGAATCAAAACTCGGCAGCACGAAAGCAAAATAGTTGCCCTTTAAGTTCACCGAAAAAAATCCCACAAAAATCGGTTTGTCGAGCAACCAATCCAGCGAGAATTTCAAATTAACGGCCGTTCGGAATTCTTCTAATGCGTGGAAGGAACTTCTTGTGCAGCTGAGAGACCGTTAATGCGCGGTCAACCTGGACGCTAGTCGAATCTCTCTAAACGGGTCTTCCCCATAGTCTTCTACCACCAACTCTTCACACATACTAAGGTACCCCGGGTAAACTCATCAACTTGACTAGATCGTCGATACTGTCCATCTTCACTGTTTTCAATGGATTTTTACAAATATCCTCTTACCCGGGGTACCTCAGTATGTGTGAAGAGTTGGTGTTAGAAGTCTATGGGGAGGACCCGTTTAAAGAGATTCGACAAGCGTCCAGGTCGACCGCGCATTAACGGTCTCTCAGCTGCACAAGAAGTTCCTTCCACGCATCAGAAGAATTTCGAACGGCCTTTAATTTAAAATTCTCGCTGGATTGGTTGCTCGACAAATCGACTTTTGAGGGATTTTTTTCGGTGAACTTAAAGGGCAACTATTTGGCTCTCGTGCTGCCGAGTTTTGATTCGAGAGAAAGTATTTAAGTGTTGTTTTGGAGCGATTTTTGCGAGCATGTGTCAACAGAAGTTTCCGACCTTCCCGTATTTTATGCACGGTAACTTAGGGCGTCAAGCAAAAACACATCAAAACGGCCTCAAATCGTGAGGAGAACAACACAGACTGCTCTCTACGAAGGTAAGACTTTATTTCTTTGATTATTTCACACAACTTTACATTTACGGAGCTCAAGATTAAATCCAACTAAACCACTATCTTGATACAAACTCTTTAATTATTCAATGTGAAAGAGCCTGTAACAGAGCTTGGGTCACCTGTGGTCCATACAGGTGCGCTAGTCGGGAACCTCTGGGAGGTAGTATTTCAGCCAGTTTTTCAGGAATGAATTGATGTAAAACTGTTTTCAACTCGTTTTCTTTCTGTAGAAGAGGATGATAATGTTCAGGGGGTGGACGGCCTCGAGTCTTAGGACGATTTGGATCAACCGGTGTAAATTTAGATGTATCGACTATAGATGCTTGATGTAAAAGACGAGATATTCCTCCGTTTATCTATGACTACAGTGCCAGATCCTTTATCAGGTTTTGTGATGACAATGTCGTCATGTTGTTTAAGACGATTGAGCGCCTTAACAGGAGCTTTAGGTGGATTGGGGCTTTTCCTTTGGATGTAATTCAAGGCAATTGATCGTAGTGTAGACGCCA